AGACGTCGATATTTTTCTTTAAACCGTCGTTTGTTTTCACATTAGACGTCGGAATTTATTTTCTACAACGTAATAAATAATATAAAACGACGGTATTTAATTACCGTCGTTTAAATTATAATAAGACGACGTTTTTTAATTTAAACCGTCGTTTTTAATGAATTACCACGTCATTTTATTTTGCTTTATTTCTTTAAACAGGGTAATGAAGTAGTTGATTATTCGAATGTGGAGGTGCCATCTTCCTTACAATCCCTTTGTGGTTATGTGGAAACTACACTAAAGCCACAGGGGAAGATCATGACCTTCAACATTGAGAAGGAGGTGTTTGGTGCAGATCGAAGTACCTTCGTCTTGCATGAAGATATTACACAGTTTTCAGGCATGGAAGAAATTGGGGCTACTGTGGTTGCAGTATATATGAGGTTTGTCCTAATCAATATCATAAGACGTCGGTTGTTTAATTATTGAGTCGTTTTAAACCACTAACCACGTCGTTCTTTTTTACTGTCGTGATAAATTAGTTATCACGTCTGTTTCTATTTCAGTTCGTCGTGTTAAATTGTATAATACGTCGTTTGTGTATAAATAACCGTCGTTTGTTTTATATATTTAGGTGCTTATATGATCTTTTGAGAGAAGCAAATATGTGCAGCATGGTTGGCTTTATCGACCCTGCTCAAGTTAGTGCCAACGCTGGGTCACTAACTGACAGATCACGAATTGTAGCCAGTCGACTTCAGAAAACAGATGGTGAACAGATTTTCATGATGCCTTACAATCCAGGGTTAGTCTCCTTAAAAGGATTTTGTTTGTATGATTTTCACTTATAAAACTGTTTAACTAATTCTGTGTCGTTTGAAACATCTAACCACGTCGGTTATTTATTTATTGAGTCGTTTGAAACAACTAACCACGTCGTTAGTTAATTCTCGTCGTGATAAATTTATAATGACGTCGATGATTAAGTTATTACGTCGTGTGAAACTATATAATACGTCGGTTTTTATAAATAACCGTCGTTTTTTATTTTATTTTTGTGCAGCCGTCATTGGGTCTTGCTGATTGTGAGGGCAAAGAGGGAAACCGTCTATTTTCTGGATCCTCTGCCTGGAAATCGTGGTGGTTGATGAGGAGGGCAAAAACATTGTGAACAGTGCTTTAAAAATTTATAATTCCCACATAGGCAGACCAGGCCGTAAAGCACCTATTTGGAAAACTCTGCCAGGCACACCAAAGCAACCCAGCAGTGTCGAATGCGGGTATTATGTGATGCGCTTCATGAGGGACATCATCATGGATCCTTCCTTGGAGTTTGAGAAGAAGGTAAGAATAAAATTTTCAGAAACATTTTATGTGGTTTTTTGTATTATCAACGACGGTCATTTAAAATTACCGTCGTTGAATCGATAGACTACGTCGGTTATGAAAAAAAACGTCGTCTGTAAAGCTTAATAATCTTTGTTTATGGATTGCAGTTTGCCAAGGGAAAAGATCAAGCGCCATACCCCCCAAGCAGCCATTGATGAAGTCAGGAAAGAATGGGCAGAGTTTGTTTGCCTTCATATGGATTAGAGGATTTTTGGAACACTTGATAATTTTTATGTACTAATTTTGTCTATAATATATAATGTACAAATTTTGTCTATAATATACATCCTTTTTTTCCCTGACAATTTGCTGAGGTTTTCATATTATAAAAGAAAAAACAAATTGCGTAACCGACGTGTAATAACTTTCCAACGACATAATTATGTAAAAAACCGACGTAAAATGATATTTAGACAAGATGGGACGTACATGGGACGTCGTTTTGATGAAAATTTCGCCATGGTTTCGTTTTTAAACGACGTCCTTTTGAACAAGTAAGTCGTTCATTAGGGTTTAGGGTAATACCTTTTAACGACGGTGATTAGGTCGTGGAATATCTATTTTACGTCAGATAGTGAAACATCCGCCATGGTTTCTCTTTTAAACGACGTCCTTTTTACATGTGAGTCGTTTATTATTATTTACAACGTCACTGTTGTTGATATAAGAATATTTTATTATTTTTAATTCAAAATTTTAAAAATAAAATTAAAATAAATTCAAAAAATTCAACTTCAACTCCTATGAAGTCATTGATATATTTTCTTCCCCCTAAACCCCAAAAAAATGCAGTTTGTGTAATAAAAGTTTAAAATGACCAACCAAAATAAAATTGTTGTTATGTGTCATAGCATCACTTATATAGTTTGATGGTTTAGGGTTTAGGGTTTGGGGTTTAGGGTTGTTATTTATTAGGGTTTATGGTTAAAGTATAATTTTTGGGGTTTAGGGTTTATGCTTGTTATTTATTAGGATGTAAAACCATAAACAATTTTATAAAATTAAATTTTACAAATATATAATTTATGGTTTTAAAGTTTAGGGTATTACTTTTAACGACGGGGATTGAGTCGTGGAATATTGAGTTTACGTCGTATGGTGAAAAATCCGACGTGGTTTCTTTTTTAAACGACGTTTTGTTTACCTTTTAGTCGTTTATTATTATTTACAACGTCGTTAGTTACTTAACCCGCCGTGGTTTGTTTGTTGATATAAGAATATTTTATTATTTTTAATTCAAAATTTTAAAAATAAATTAAAATAAATTCAAAAAATTCAACTTCAACTCCTATGAAGTCATTGATATATTTTCTTCCCCCTAAACCCCAAAAAAATGCAGTTTGTGTAATAAAAGTTTAAAATGACCAACCAAAATAAAATTGTTGTTATGTGTCATAGCATCACTTATATAGTTTGATGGTTTAGGGTTTAGGGTTTGGGGTTTAGGGTTGTTATTTATTAGGGTTTATGGTTAAAGTATAATTTTTGGGGTTTAGGGGTTTATGCTTGTTATTTATTAGGATGTAAAACCATAAACAATTTTATAAAATTAAATTTTACAAATATATAATTTATGGTTTTAAAGTTTAGGGTATTACTTTTAACGACGACGGGGATTGAGTCGTGGAATATTGAGTTTACGTCGTATGGTGAAAAATCCGACGTGGTTTCTTTTTAAACGACGTTTTGTTTACCTTTAGTCGTTTATTATTATTTACAACGTCGTTAGTTACTTAACCCGCCGTGGTTTGTTTGTTGATATAAGAATATTTTATTATTTTTAATTCAAAATTTTAAAAATAAATTTAAAATAAATTCAAAAAATTCAACTTCAACTCCTATGAAGTCATTGATATATTTTCTTCCCCCTAAACCCCAAAAAAATGCAGTTTGTGTAATAAAAGTTTAAAATGACCAACCAAAATAAAATTGTTGTTATGTGTCATAGCATCACTTATATAGTTTGATGGGTTTAGGGTTTAGGGTTTGGGGTTTAGGGTTGTTATTTATTAGGGTTTATGGTTAAAGTATAATTTTTGGGGTTTTAGGGTTTATGCTTGTTATTTATTAGGATGTAAAACCATAAACAATTTTATAAAATTAAATTTTACAAATATATAATTTATGGTTTTAAAGTTTAGGGTATTACTTTTAACGACGGGGATTGAGTCGTGGAATATTGAGTTTACGTCGTATGGTGAAAAATCCGACGTGGTTTCTTTTTTAAACGACGTTTTTGTTTACCTTTTAGTCGTTTATTATTATTTACAACGTCGTTAGTTACTTAACCCGCCGTGGTTTTTCATAGTTTTAACGCCTTTTTTGATTTTGCGTGGCACATAGTTTTTACCACGACGTCCTTAATGTAATAAGCGTCATGTTTAATGTTAAATTTTAACGACGCTTGTTTTTTTCGGTCGATGTTTTAAAAAGCGCGCTTTCTTAAAATATTCGCGGGACCTAAAATTTTCAAATTTGGCTCTTATTTTTATACTTGTAACCCTGAACCCTAAAATTTTCTGATTTCGCGCAACATAACATTTCGCTCTCTCACTTCATCTCTAATTCAAAGTTGGGCCAGGCTGTGTCAAATCCAATTTGGTCATAATCTGTGAGCTCTGCCAACCTGTAAGTACAAACCCTCTCTTCCCCTTGTAATTTCATTGAATGATATATTCTGTTGTTTTGTTAAAGGGTTTTAGGTATATGTTTTGCGATCTGTTAATAATGTTGTTGGAGGTATGGGTTCATGGATTGTCTGTTTAATGTTTTCTTGATCACTCTGTTATGTTGAATATGGAATGGATTTCATTTTGTCGGATCTTTTAATCACTCTCTGTTATGTTGAATTGGGAATGGATTTATTGTTTTCATGCTTAGTATATGTTGGTTTTCATGTATATGTTGGTTTCTTGCTTTGTTTCATGTCTGTACGTTGTGTTCTTAATAGGGTTTTGGGATCTTTGAAAATGAACTGGATAACGACGTGTTTTCAGGCATACGACGACGGTTTTTACTTTAAACCGTCGTTTTTATTACTTATACACGACGGTGTTATTTAACTACCCGTCGTGGTTATAATTAGACGACGTAAATTCCGTCGTCTATATATGTCAAAGACGTCTGTTTTTGTTTAAAAACCGTCGTCTCTGTTGTATATTACTTGCTATTAGACTTTATATAATCTGCTATAGTGATGGTCATTGCTTGTCTTTTCACTTTATTATATATAATAGGGTATAGTGTCGGAGATGGATAAGTCATGGATGCACTCGGATAGAAGATCGAAGGCATATGAGTTAGGGGGTGGAAGCATTTTTGAACTTTTCTGTAGAAAATCTTCTAACTACCACACATATCCGTTGTCCATGTGTTAAATGTGTTATTTTGAAATTGTTTGGGGTTGGAATTATAAGGGATCACTTATACTTTAATGGAGTTGACCAAAGCTATAAGAATTGGACATTTCACGGAGAACCTTGGGAAGCAGCTACTAATGCTAGTAGAAATGTTGAAGAAGATGATGACCATAGTAGGTACAGTTTTGTGTCTGAAGAAATAGAGATGGATGATAATGATTTTTGGTGATTTTGGATCTGATCCTTATGAGTTTGCCAATGTGATTGGGGATGGAGATCAAACCATTGTACCCTGGTTGTAGAAAGTACACGAAGTTATCGGCATTAGTGAAGTTGTATAATTTGAAGGCAAAATATGGGATGAGTGATGTCTGTTTTACAGAATTATTGATACTTCAAGGCGATTTGCTTCCAGAAGGAAATACAATACCGGCCTCTATGTATGAGGCAAAAAAGACTTTGTGTGCATTGGGGCTGAGTTATGAGAAAATGCACGCATGCCCCAATGATTGCATCTTGTATAGGAAGGAGTATGAGGATTTAACTCATTGTCCTAATTGTGGTATCTCAAGGTGGAAGGAAGGCAAAGATTCAATCTTGAAAGAGGGTGTGCCAGCGAAGGTGGTGTGGTATTTTTCCTCCAATTCCAAGGTTTAAAAGGATGTTTCGATCACATGAGACCGCTAAGAGTTTGACTTGGCATGCTGCTAGAAAATCAATTGACGGTTATATGTCTCATCCAGCGCGGATTCCCCGTCTTGGAAACTTCTTGATGATAAATGGCCCGAGTTTGGTAATGAGCCGAGAAACTTGAGATTGGCTCTTTCATCTGATGGATTCAATCCCCACAGTTCTCTAAGTAGCAGATATAGTTGCTGGCCAGTTATCTTAGTTACATATAATCTCCCTCCATGGCTGTGCATGAAACGAAAGTTCATGATGTTGACCTTATTGATTTCCGGTCCTAAACAACCCGGAAATGATATAGACGTCTACTTGGAGCCTTTGATTGATGATTTAAAATCTTTGTGGGATGGGATTGGAGGAGTGTATGATGCACATAATGGAGAATACTTTACACTCAGAGCTGCATTAATGTGGACAATTAATGATTTCCCCGCCTATGGAAACTTATCTGGTTGTGTTGTTAAAGGATATAAAGCTTGTCCAATATGCGGCGATGATACACCTAGTCACAGGTTGAAAAATGGCCACAAAATTTGTTACATTTGGGCATAGAAAATAGAAAATGGTTACCGATCAATCATCCATATAGGAGGCAACGTGCAGCTTTTAATGGGAAACCTGAATATGGGCACGCCTCCCTGAGCCATTAACCGGAGAAGAAGTGCTGCATATGGTTGAAGATGGTGACAGAGTTTGTTGGAAGAAGAAATCAATATTCTTTGATCTCGAGTATTGGAAATACCTTCCTGTGAGGCATGTCCTAGATGTTATGCACATTGAGAAGAATGTTTGCGATAGTATCATTGGTACAGTGCTGGAGATCCCTGGAAAAAATAAAGATGGGATTGCGGCTCGATTAGATTTATTGAACATGGGGTTCAAAAATGATTTGCAAACCCGAGTATGGAGAAAGACTACTCGTTTGCCTCCCGGGCCTTGGAATTTGTCAAGAGCAGAGAAGAGAGAGGTTTGCAATTCTTTCTATGGTATGAAGGTCCCTGAAGGGTTATTCTTCAAATATAAAAAATCTTGTATCTTTTACAAGATTCAAGACTTCTTGGCCTTAAATCACATGATTGTGTCATACCTTTAATGCAACAATGCTCCTGTGGCAATTCGTTCTGTTTTGGAGAAGCCTGCAAGGTATGCAATAACTCCGTTGTTGCTTCTTCTTTCAATGCTATCTGTTTGTGCAAAGACTGTTGATGTTTCCAAGCTAGATAAGTTGGAAGAAGAGTGTAGTAGTTACTTTGTGTTTGCTTGAGAAGTACTTTCCCCCCTTCATTCTTTTGATATCATGGTTCATCTAGTAGTACATCGTGTCAGAGAAGTTCGTCTGTGTGGGCCAGTATATTTTTAGATGGATGTATCCGTTTGAAAGATATATGAAAGTGCTAAAGGGGTATGTTCAGAATCGTACTCTCGTCCCGAAGGTTGCATTGCTGAGCGGTATATAGCTGAAGAAGCTGTAGAGTTTTTGTACCGAGCATTTATCTGATGTTAGTACAGTTGGAGTGCCTTCAAGCCAAAAGATGGGAGTTTCAAAGCCATATCAGGTTGCACAGTGAGCGTAGTTGATCGGACCTGTTGAAACCAAGCACATCTATATGTCTTGGAGAATAACGGAGGAAGTCCTACCTTATATCGAGTACGTATGAGTTTTATTTCTTTAAGTTTCCATTTTAAATTATTTCTTATGTTTATCTTTATATGTTTGGGACCGTAATACTTGAATTTTGTGTGTCATGTAGGCAACATATGATCCACATCATCCAGACCGCTTATCCAAAATTTAGAAAGAGAACAAAGTGGCTGCAGGATAAGCACAATAGCACTTTCATTCAATGGCTACGCTTCAAGGTATATGTTATTGAATAACATATTGGGACTTTTAATTTTCTTCTCTTTCTATGTTAGATTGAATTAAGTTATGATTAATTTGCAGGTTCAAAGTGAACTTAATGAGGAGACAATCATGGCGTATCAGAAAATTTAAGGTGGCTAGCAGCTGGTCCAAACATGGCAGTGCCATTATATAGGAGCTATCTCATTAAAGGTATTAAATTCAACATCAAGGCACAAGATGATGTGCGGACAACTCAAAATAGTGGAGTTTATTTACTTGCACATACTATGCAAGTTGCTAGTGCCAAGGATAAAAACCCAATTCTCTCAAATATGGGTTTCTATGGTGTCATTCAAGAAATTTGGGACCTTGACTACCAAAAGTTTACAATCCCAGTCTTTAGGTGTGATTGGATTGATAATACTTCTGGTCTTGTAGTGGACGAACTTGGATTTACCCTTGTAGATTTGAGTAAAATTGGACATAGGAATGACCAATTTGTTTTGGCTTCTCAAGTCAAAACAAGTATTTTTTGTTGACGACCCGATGCATCGTGGTTGGTCGGTAGTGTTATCAATGCCTAATAGAGAATATAATGATGTTATTGGTGATGATGTCTTAGGTGATGTGAGAATTGAGTGTGAGCCATTTACTAGGGGGATGCCAAATGTTGACACATTTGATGAAGTGGTGGTTGAGTTAGGGAGTCAAAATATTCGAGATGGGTGTGAAGATATATGGGTTGAATGATGCTTTAATGTAATTGGCATGTAAAAGAAAAAAAAAAAAAAAAAAAAAAAAAAAAAAAAAAAAAAAAAAAAAAAAAAAAAAAAAAAAAAAAAAAAAAAAAAAAAAAAAAAAAAAAAAAAAAAAAAAAAAAAAAAAAAAAAAAAAAAAAAAAAAAAAAAAAAAAAAAAAAAAAAAAAAAAAAAAAAAAAAAAAAAAAAAAAAAAAAAAAAAAAAAAAAAAAAAAAAAAAAAAAAAAAAAAAAAAAAAAAAAAAAAAAAAAAAAAAAAAAAAAAAAAAAAAAAAAAAAAAAAAAAAAAAAAAAAAAAAAAAAAAAAAAAAAAAAAAAAAAAAAAAAAAAAAAAAAAAAAAAAAAAAAAAAAAAAAAAAAAAAAAAAAAAAAAAAAAAAAAAAAAAAAAAAAAAAAAAAAAAAAAAAAAAATTCATTTGATAAACGCCTTTAAGACTATGGTTTAGGGTTTATTGTGGAGTGTTTAGGGTAAAAAAATTATTAAAAATTCCCCACAGCAATACTTTTTATTTTCCCGCTCATGCATTAGGGTTTAAAGTAAAAAAAATATATTCAACTTTGGAATTTCCCGCTCACGGATTGTCATGACCCAAAAAGGCGAAGTCAAACTTCAAACTCCTATATGTTTTGACCAAATAATAAAATCCAATTCCTTTTCAAAATTGGAAGAAATAATTAGGGGGTTTTGACCAAATATTTGGAAGGGTATAATTCTTCTGTTTTCTTCATTTCAACTCTAGGCAAAGCGATGTCGATTTCTTCATCAAACAGTGAAGCAAAGAGGTGTCGGCACTACAATGCTGAGATGGTGAAGCTAATTTCCAAATCTGAAAGGAATCTGGGCAGACCGTATTGGAAGTGCTTCACAACATATGTAAGTATAATCTTCCCAAACCTCGTATGTAAAACCGAATAAGCTGTATATAATAAACAGTAATCCCAAACTGAAACTGCTTCAGATAAAAGAATATGGTCTGACATTGTAATCCCATAATGAAAATGTAGGTTTTTTTGTTTTTTTTATACGGAGCTACAAGGTGTAGTGGCTATGAATGGGTGACAGCAGCCAACACCCCAACTGAATCTGAAATTCAAAACCAAGTGTATGTGAAGGAATTTAATGCATATGCTGAAGTAATCTGTATACTGAAGGGCATTAATAAAATCCTCCTACTGTTGTTAGTTCTATCATTTTTGAATTTGGCTATTAAATTGATGAAAAGTAAGAAATATTTTGGGTTTAAGTATATGTTTCGTAATTTTGTAATCCGAACAGCTACATATAAGACGTGTTTGGAAATGTACAAATATAATTAAGCCTTCAGCATAATTAGTCAATGACAAACTTCAACATTTTGTATGCCTGCATCTTAACTTCACAATCGTGTTTGCCCTAAACAAGAAACATTACTATTATTCGACATTTGAAAAGAATCATGCACCATTTAGGGTTCAGGTTCAGCATATTGTCAACAATATGTGTTGAGGGTTTCATACAGCTTGTATTTGAACATAATACAAAAACTAATTCTTTAATTTTAAGTGAAAAGGGGGAGTTGGATCATAAAGAAGACTTTGTTCCTTAACAAACAAGAAACCTACCTTTTCAAACCTTACTAAAATAGAAAGGGGAAAAGATGCGCTCAAGCATGCGAAGAAAGCTCTTCAAGCTTCCCTTATATTATAGAAAGGTTTGTTTTGTAACTCGTGAATATAAGGTCTGTTACCAACAAAATTTCCCACCCGGTTAAATTAACTTTTCAAGTTCATATACTACACTACACCCACCCAGTTAAAAACTTTGTAAGTTATAGTATCTCTTAATGAATCACAGCTACCAATATCCCTGCAACAACTGTACAGCGAGCTTCAACCAATAGAAAGGCATGGCATCATGGGAAATCTTGGCCAGGTCTACATTCGAGGTCAGAAACTCGCAGTATTTGAGGATGTACATCCCACAGTCGCCCCTAAAACATAGTGAAGAAGCTGTGATATTCATTGTACAACAAATCCATTTCATAAGACAATGTGGTTAGGTGGAATATTACTCACCCGCCCACTTGTTGGGGTGCATCCATGACGCGAATAACTGGCCACTCAATTTCAGAAGTAGACCGTCGCCAATATATCCAAATTCCTTTAACAACCGGGGCAACATTTTGCCACCGACTGCACGGCCTGTTGGATGGCTTGAGTTCTGCACAGATCTACTTTTGAATTATATGCCCTTATCTCACACTCTTTTAAATCGACAACAAGTAAGATCTAGTGCTTCTGCCTTTGTAGGTTGAAGGGAAACAAACGCGATTCACAGACGACCATGATTTAGCCAACTTAGGCCCTTCGCCCTCGACCATTCCCAATAGACCCTTGCTGTGCTGCCTGTCCTCATTTCCCACATAAACGGATACAAATTTGAAAATAAACAATGCTTAAGAAATAATATAGACCTGAAAAGTGGTGTCTAGTACCGTCCAGTCAGAACCTACCCAGTTGCCAGAGCTCTTGTGCCGCTCCCGTAGCAAAAGCAATGCCATGTCTATGTTCTACATAAAAGAGTTGTTTCCATTATTAAATCAATAAATCTCTATATAGCATGGGCATTTCGACAAAATCTCAAAGCAAAACTGATACACTATTTTCAACTCATTAAGATGCATAATTTTCACCTACAAACACTATTTTCAACACATTCACATACAGAACTGATACCTACCAACACTATTTCAACACATTAACATACATAATGATACCTACTACAAGATGCATTGATCCTTCTGCATCCCAAATCATCTCATATTCATAGTTAAGATTCAATTTTCTCTTATGTGTTCTACTTCTAATGGTACTTATTCTTTGTTTTTCAAACTCCATTAAATCCCTAAAATGATGCCATACACTCACACCACTAGATGGGCAAAGCAGAATAACAATGACCAACACATGAAGGTTCTTGGAATTTTAAGAAAAGACAACAAGCAAGCACAATGCAAAAAAATAGGAACAACCAACAATTGTGAATCTACACTTCAACAAATTACCACAAAAATTGCAATAAAAAGACAACCCAACTTTTGGAAAAAATAAATAATATTTAAATCGCAGAAAAAATTTAAAAATTAGTTACTATGCTTCAACAAATTACTAGAAACTAGAAAAAGACACACAAAAAAAACAACTGAAGCCAATTTATATTTTTGCAAACACAACTACTACAGAGACAGACTACTCTTACCCAGAAAATCAGAGGCTAAATCCTACACCATAGACAGACTACTCTTACCCAGAAAATCAATGCCCTAAAGTCCTAAACATATTTAAACATTAAGTGATTTAAACATTAACTGAATGCAATATAACATGCAAAACTTTAATATGAATGAAAGAGAAGGAATTCAAGAGAAATTTACCTTCTCAGACGTTCAAATGAGAAATATTAGATGAGGGGGGAAGCGAAAGAGACAGAGTACACCAGGGAGTTTCTGCGACAAGAGAAATAGACAAATTTATGTCTAGTAGGTATTTTGGGTGTTTAGGGTTGATTCATAAATTGATCAATTTATTAACAAGAAATGCGTGATTGGCCACTGTCAGGAAGAAAAAAGGCGCTTTTTTCGAAACAGGCTTGACTTGACAATTGGGCTAAGGGGAACTACAGCCTACCCATTTTTACCGTAAGCTTGCTTTTTCTTTTTAGCCGTTCAGATAATTTGGATGGCTGGATTTTGTTCTCATATAACATTCGCACATAAGCGTTCTCACTAGATAATCGCCCTATAGGAAGGGGCGTTTCTATGCAGGGGAAGGCTGGTCAGTTGCCCAGCCCAAATTTTTCCAAAAAACACATTGTCAGCCCAGCCCAAATTTTTCCTAAAAAATATTGAATGTGTAGCTTTTCTTCTTTTGTTTTGTCTACAACAACTTCTCCTCTTCTCTGCAACAACTTTTCCTATACTTTTCTTGACATATAGACATCAACTTCTCCTCTTGCTAGCAATAACTTCTCTTTTTGGTAACAATTATTCTTCTCATTCTCTCATTTTTAATTATCTTATGCATATTTAATTTAAAATTGAGTATTATAGAATTTAATTAGGAATAAATTAAAATTTAGGGATTTTTTATATATAATTAATTAAGGCTTTGATTTTAGGAATTTTATTGAGATGTTTGATTTGTGTTGTTTTGTTTGATTGAGTGCATTGATGCTATTATGAGAATTGGTTTTTTTTGTTGTTGTTGTTGTTGTTGATATGTTTGATTTCTCTTCATGGCAAAATCTTTCCAAATCTTCCATCACTATGCCAAAAAATGCCTTTAGCAACTGATAAAATCCATTGCCTATTACCCATAAATACCGTGGTATTCAAGGCTGTTGCCTATTACTATGTAATAGGCAACGGATATTATCCGTGGCCTTTTGATAGTTACAACATCGGATATTTGGTAAAATCTGATGTGTAAATGATTTCCGTGTGCCAAAAAAACTTTGACTTCTGATGCCTAAACCTAAAACAACATCAGTAGTTTCAAAAGGGAGGAGGCAAAAGAGGTATTATAGCATCAGTGGTATCTGTTATACTGATGCGTATTATCAATTACAACATCGCAAAAACATATAGTGTTGTTGCGAATTATGTTATAGGTCATCACTTTTTTCTACTTTGCGGATGTGAAAGCCTCCAATAGTGTTGGTTGTTATATAAATGCTGATGCTACTTCTAGTTTTAGGCATTAGTGATCATAAATGTCTGGTTGTTATTTTTATCTTTCAACTTCAGTCATTTTTGGAAAATTGAAGTTGTTATAAACAATAGGCATCACTTATGTAAGGAAAATGTAGGTATTTGCGTGTTTCACATCACACTTTACTTGATTACTGTCTTAGTATATCGAAAAGGCATCATTTCCAAATTGTGTTGTGTTGCCATTGCTCATAAAAAATATATTATATAAACAATAATTTAGATATATCCATACTTGTCTATATATATATAAGCAAAATACTTGAATGATCCATACTTATCACATCCAAATCACAATTTTTCCAGCCCTACACCACAAATTATCCATACTTGTCTATATATAAGCAAAATACTAGCTAGAAAGACATGTAAAATGAAGGAATGTTTAGCTCAATCAAAAAGCCATTCCAAGACATGAGTTGCCAATTCTTCTCGCTCCTCATCCAATTCCATTTGGGTGTACGTGTCCTTTCGTCTAGCTCTATATGAAAAGAAAAAAAACATGTAGAATGTAAACACGAATAATGTGTAATATGAACATAAGATATGTTGTCACTTCAAATTAACCAATATGCAAATTTATGAAATCATAATGGTGAACAAGAAAATCTAATTGTCAACCAATCTAATTAGATTCGACCCCAAACACCAAAACAAATTAAAACTCAAATGAAAAATAAAGAATTCTTACCAAAATGTGGAGCAGTTAGTGGTCATGGGCTAGTGGCGTTGATCCTTGACAGCAGAGGAAGAGGATTAAAAAAATAAAAAAGGAAAATTAAAATCAGAAAGGAAAAAAAATTCTGAATCATAATCAAAACAAAGCACCTGCCTCAAATGCTGTGTTCAGACCTTTCATCGACCACTTGGGCGGCACCATTTTCAGGTAGATAGATCCACACGATCAGTCGAACACCTGCTATCTGCCACGCCAATCGCGATTATCTGGCTCAGAATAACGAGCTTGGGGTTGAGGTTGCAGCTAAAGAAAAATTGAAGTAAATGACTACTATGTTGCTACTCTTACTCCTGCCTAGTATCATTGTTTTTTTTTCGTTTTCAAATATTCATTGTTTTTCAAATAATGAATTACATTCCTAATGGAAATAAGTACATTCAACACTTCCGAAAATAATGAGAATACACCATACACAATAATTCCATTAATCTTTTATAATGAAAATACAGAAAGTGTTGCAAGTGGTGGACCTATGCTTAGGACTATTACATTAATATTTTCTCCTTGCTTGACTGGATTTGCCACAATCACTCAACTGAGTATTGGCTTTCCTTTGGCCAAAAGGTAATTGTAAGGTACTCTCTAGATGCTAAGGTACATATCAATATAAGTCTTTGCTTTGGAGTCTCTAAACTATACGTCCTTTGGTTGAAATAAGGACTCACCTTAATTTTTATTCTATTTCTTGGTAGTATACGTATAAAACAACGTCGAATCCTTTCTGAAACAAAACCAGAATCATATTTTCATTATCTCAAATCTAAAAAAATCTCAATTCTTTCGAACTTTCTCTTTTGGAATGGAATTTTTACGGAATCCTCATGAATAGGATCAAACCTTATTCCATGGTATTTACATGAGATTCCTCTTTCTTCTATACAAACAGCATGCCTATAAATTGGAAACCAAACTAATTTGCATATTATCATTCATTTCAGTGGTTCTCTCAACATCGGTTTGTCAAATTGTTATTGGTTCTTGAATGAGTATGACAATATAGCAGTTAAATTTCGCATTGAAGAAACAAATGGGAATCAATGTAGATAATCTCTTGGAGTTATTTCAGTCAATGATAAATCAAGATCACATAAGCATTCAAGAACCAATAACAATTTGATAAACCCATGTCAAAACACAGAGATATGCACCAATCAACCTAGCTATGGTTTTCAAACAGAACAGCCTATAAAGCTTTAGTCCATGGCCTTAACTTTCTGTACGCTGAACAGCCTAATAAGCAGACTAATTCATCGAAGTTAGCATACTGTTAAAATTCTTGATATTTAATGGTTAGGTCCAAGTCAGCTTGTTTAACCTCTCTTTCAAGTCTGTCACGTCACACTGTTTACACTATTGGGTAGCAGTTGAAATTAAAATCAGAAGTACACCCCACCTGTTCGAACCATAAACATAGTAAGCAAGACTTTGGAACTGCCCCTGGCAAGTATATGTTTCGCAGTTAAAACTATAAAGAGTATAGATCTAAGAGATAAGCAACCAGATGGGCCAGAATTACCATTTTCATGAATGATCATTCAGTGGTTTTTATTATCTACACCATGTAGGCAACAGAGGATTCTAAAAAGTCCAAAAATAAGAACATTTAGGCAGATATCTCCAATGGCATTGACCAAAAGTCTCAAAGGGTTTGCATATGACTTCATATAAATTGGACACCACATGTAATTAGTGAAATTCAATATTTACAAGATCTTGCTGAAAACCTTTAGCTATACTTTCCATTCTCAAAAACAAGAGGAAGCTGTATTCAGATTTCACATGATTTTTATCAAAACGCTGATGACTAACAAAGCCATTACTATCTTAATTTCATAAATAGAAATCTTTAATGCTAACAAGAGCTCAGCATATACATACCTTGCTTGCTAGAGTAAATATACCCAAGAGGAAAAGATATGAATCTTTCACAATCATCAGTTAAAGTTTCATTTCAAAAGAAAACCAAATTGATCTTGTAAAGAAATCAGTACTCATTATATGCATGTTTGTAGAGTACTCAAAGCTTAAACATAATCATGATTGAAAGTTATATGTGTATGATGAAGGCTTAAATGTGGACTGTTACTGAGAACACAATATAACAAGAAAAACACAAAGTCTTTGACTAGTGCAAAGAAATATACAAACCAACAGTCAAGCAAATAACAGTGCAGTCAAGTAAATTTTGGTAAATCAAAGCTTATTTGTGTTTGCTTTGAGAAACAAATCTTTTGTTTTTTTTCAACAAGAGGAACGAAAAATCAAAGTAATAGTCAAAGCAAATTTGGGTAGACTAAACATTAAAGTTAATTTTTGTTTTCTTTTAGAAACAGACATAGTCCAAACCATCAAGACCCCAACCCAGCTTGGAGACACTGTAAAATTCCTAGAAAAAAAATTAACAATGATTTCTCCACCCACATAATTAAACCCTTACACTGAGAAGCCAGAGAATTTCAAATGTGAATTTGCAAACAAGGGGAGAGAGAGAGAGAGAGAGAGAGATTATCAAAATCATTTACAGCTTCAACTAACTGCTAGCTCTATTACGTTTCAATTATATACATAAAACCCAAGAAAAACTAATATGGCCCCATCAAAAGATTTATTCATCTATGAATTCAGCTCAAGTTTTATGGTCCTTGAAACAAGAACTCAACACCACAAATTGAGTAGAACTATTATGCAATCACTACTACGTTTCACCATTTGCGCGACGAAAGATTGCGCGACGAAGAATAAGTCGTCGCGCAAACCATACTGGCGCGACGAAAGAAAATATTCGTCGCGCAATCCACTGAAAATTTGCGCCACCAAAATTTTTCGTCGCACAAAATGTATATGCGCAACAAAAAAAATTTCGTCGCGCAAACAGAGTTAAAAAAAGCGGGGGGAATTTTTTTGGCGCGAAACATTTGCGCGACGAGAAATATCGTCGCTAAAGGCAACATTGCACGACGGAACATTGATTCGTCGCGCAAAAAGGACAGTACCCAGTGGGTCCCCTTATTTAGCGCGACGGGAAGATGTTTCGTCGCGTAAGAGAACGAGGGATATTTTATTTTTGGCGCCAAAATGACCTGGTTGGGATTTTTTTTTTGCGCGACGTAAGTACTCTTCGTCGTGTAAATTTCCACGTTTGCGCGACGAATATCTTGTTTTGCGCGACGGAATTTTGTTTTTGCGCGACAAAAGTTTGCGCGACGAATGTATGTGTTCGTCGCGCAAAGTCCTTCTTCTTCATATTAGAATTCTGCCATTGCAGAGGCAGAATGCAAAAACAAAGCATTCTGCCTCTGCCTCTCTCTCAACCTCTCTGCCGCTGCTGGGATTTCAATACATTGATTGGGTAAGTATTTTTCGTCATTAGTTTAAAAGTATTAATTTAAGTTCGTACTAAGGTTTTTTAATTTGTTTTCGTTAGGGATATTTGTAATTAACGATTGGTGGAGAACGATTGAGAAGGTATTTTATTCGTTTTATATATTAATAATGTTAATTTGTTATGTTTAAAATGTTCTTGTGAAGTTATATTTATATTATGTTGTTAAATTGTGTGTAACGTAGTACAATCTGTTGTGATGTACGAAGTTAATTGAAATTAACTTCGTGCTTTTATTTTTATGTTTAGTAACACTTAGTTTCCCGTTCGAGATTAGTTGGATTTCGTGCATGGATGCGTAATGCATGACTGCGGTCCAATTAATTCTTGAATTGTCCCATTATTTGGACAGTTTGGTAATGCATAGTGTTGTCACGTAATCTATGGCTACAGGATTAGGTTTCGATTGTGGATATTTCGTTGTCATCTCGGTACGTTCTTCGGGTGGTACGTAGGTATTTATACCTATGGCCACCTCAAGAACTGTAGCGAGATGCTGGCGAAATTCATCCACGTCGAAATCTAATCTCATGTAGTCGTAGGTTACGTGGCAGGAGTATGCATTCCCGAATGGGATAGGACCCTTACCGGAGGCATAAGGTGACATTATAACTTCGTATGAAGTTGTTGTGATTGTTGTGTTGTGATTCTGGTTTCAGGAATTATGGACAGAAGGTGGATACAGAACCCGAACAGATGCGCAGACGAATACTTGGATGGAATCGAGGATTTTATTGAGTTTGCACGTAGACACAACCCGGGTGCAACTAGAATCCGTTGTCCTTGTAGGAGGTGCAACAACACGTTATGGGAGACAATTGAAAATGTTGGATTTCATTTAGTAAGGAATGGAATGATTGAGACATATAGCATTTGGAACCTTCACGGGGAACAATTAGAGCATGCTTCGTCTTCAAATGCCACAAGAGTGGACAATGTTCAACCTATTGTGGATGCTAATGATCAAGTCATGGATATTATACAGGATGTTTTTCCATTTGCATCGACCAACATGAATCAAGAAGAGCAAGATGATGTGCCTACACCAATAGACAGTGCGGAGTTTGAACAATATGAGAAATTGTTAAAAAATGTCAACCAAGAGTTATACCCGGGGTGCGAGAGCTTTTCCGTTCTCACGGCCATTGTGGAGCTGGGTTTCGATTACTTTTTGGGGGTTTTCAAGAGAATGCTTCCGATGGACAATTGTTTGCCGAAAGACCATAAAGAGGCGCAGAAGGTGTTGAATGGTCTTGGATTGGGTTATGAAAAAATCCATGCTTGCAAAAACAATTGCATGTTATTCTACAAAGAGCATGAATCGTTGGATACATGTCCTATATGCAATGAGTCGAGGTTCAAGATGACATCTCAAAATAGGACGACTAAGATCCCACAAAAAGTCATGCGTTATTTGCCCCTGAAACCTAGGTTGCAGCGATTGTATATGTCGACGCATACTGCCACAGACATGAGATGGCATAAGGAAAAACGGGTAGACGATGATGTGATGCGGCATCCTGCAGATGGGGAGGCATGGAAAGAGTTCGATCGAACGTTCCCCGAGTTTGCTGCTGATCCCCGAAATGTTAGATTGGGACTTGCCACTGACGGATTCAATCCGTATGGGGTTCTAAACCAACACCACAGCACTTGGCCGATTTTCGTATTCCCATATAATTTGCCGCCTTGGAAATGCATGAAAAAAGAATACATGATGATGACTGTTTTGATAACTGAGGATCCTGGGAGGTCAATCGATGTTTACTTAAGGCCGCTGGTTGAAAAGCTGAAGGATTTATGGACAAACGGTGTTCGCACGTACGATAAATCAACTGGGAAGATGTTCACTTTGCGGGCAGCAGTTATGTGGACTGTGAATGATTTCCCAACATATGCAATGGTTTCTGGGTGGAGCACAAAAGGTTATATGGCATGTCCTGTATGCAAGGAAGATGTAACTTCTGGTTGGCATGCTGGAAAAGTTTGTTACCTTGGCCATCGGAGATGGTTGCCATGGGACCATGAGTGGAGGGAAAAAGATAAAGAGTTCGACGGGAACACAGAGCGTCGCCTTAGACCCAGAGAATGGTCCGGTGATGAGATATTGGACCAGCTTAACCGGTTGGATTTTGCTCCCTTCGGGAAAACAGTTAGTCGTATCAGACCTTCTACACATATGAACTGGACGCACAAGCCTATGTTTTTTGAGCTCCCATATTGGTCGAAACTAAAATTGAGGCACAATCTAGATGTGATGCATGTTGAGAAAAATGTATTCGACACATTGGTGGGCACGATTCTAGATATCGAGGGGAAGACAAAAGACACGATCAAAGCTCGTCTTGATTTGGAAAGAATGGGCATACGAAGGGGTTTATGGATGAATAGGGACAATGATAAAGCTAGAAGGGATCTTGCATTCTTTTCTATGAAACCGAATGACAAGAAAGAGTTTCTAAAGTTTGTATCGTCAGTAAAGTTTCCCGATGGGTATGCTTCTAATATCGCACGTTGTGTGAATGTTGACGGGGGTAAATTTACTGGACTTAAAAGCCATGACTGCCATGTGTTTATGCAACGCCTACTTCCTGTTGGTATTCGACACCTATTGCCGGAAGATGTAGTGAAGCCAATCATTTTGTTGTCCAGATTTTTTTCCCAACTGACGGCAAAAACTTTGCGAAAAACGGACATGTTTCAGTTGCGCCATGACATTGTCCAAGTCCTATGCAAGTTTGAGATGATATTTCCTCCAGCTTTCTTCACAAGTATGATGCACGTGATGGTTCACTTGCCAGAAGAGGCATTACTTGCTGGTCCTGTCAACTATCGCTGGATGTATCCAATAGAAAGGTATATAATCCTTATCGTTTGTGTATGCATCATTATCACATGCTTGCTAATTTCAATCATATCGTTTTATTTTGGCAGGCTTCTCGGAGAGCTGAAAAAAAGTGTACGCAACAGGGCGAAGCCCGAAGGATCAATCGTAGAGGCTTGGGTTCAATATGAGTCGCTTACTTTCTGCGGAATGTATTTAAAAGATGTGGAGACGGTTTTCAATCGTCCTCAGCGCAATCATGATGGAGGTATGAGAAATGAAAAACTTTCTGTTTTTTGCCCAAAGCGCACGACCCTTTGGAGATCCTGGACGCGGAGAGTCGTTTTCTAGAAATGACATGGAGGTAGCGCATTGGTTCGTACTGAACAATTGTGATGAGATCATGGGATACTTATATGAGCATGAAGAGATGATGAAGCGAGAACATCCATCACATTTGGTTGCCCAGAAACACCGTGAATTGTTTCCACAATGGTTTTTGGATTCTGTAAGTTATCAGTGTTTGTTATTTGAGAAATATAAATTGTAGTTTTTAATTTTGTCAGACTAACATATGAATGGTTTTGTATAATATTAGGTGAATAAGTTGAAATCATCGAATTCCCCAACTTACAGTGATGAGTTATATAACTTGGCGTTCGGCCCGATTCGCGCTGAATTGTTCTCGGGTTGTAATGTCAACGGCGTCAAATTTTTGGCCGAAGCACGAGATGACAAGTTGTGTACGCAAAACAGCGGTGTCCATGTCCCAGGTGGAGGCGAAAGTACGGACATTGATTTCTATGGCAAACTCACAACTGTCGTGCAATTGCTTTACAAAGATCGATACCAAGTGATCATGTTTAAGTGTCGATGGTTTGACACCAACCCAAATAGGCGGGAAGTGTTAAAATCGATCATGGCTTACTATCTGTGAACATGAACAGAACTTGGTATGATGACGACCCTTATATTTTGGCAAACATGGCAACACAAATTGTGTATCTAGATGACCCTAAAGCCGGAAGCGGTTGGAACGTTGTTCAAAAGATGGATCACAGGAACGTGTATGCTATACCAGAACTAGACCCAACTGACAACGACGTCAACAATGTGGCTGACCAACGTTTAGAATCTTCAATGGAAAATGATGCGGAAACACTTCGAGATACTAATGTTATACAAGAGCCATTTCAAATACAAGGAGTGTCTTCAATCGAAATACCGATTCAGTCAATTACAATTGACCTCGGTGATCTTCCGCGATATGATGTTGCAGTTGGCCCGAGCAACGACGATGATGTAGTTATAGAGGAGGCGGAGGAGGAGGAGGAGAAAGAGGATTGGGAGACCGAAAGTGATGATAGCAACGATAACGAAAGTTATTATAGTTCAGATGATGAATGATTAATTTTTTTGTAATTTTATTATGTTAGTGGACATATTTTGTGTAATGCAAATGTTTTCATATATGTACTTGTTATATCCAAACATTATATATGTGCAGAAATGAAACATTATTAAAATAAATGTAGTTATAAACCATTGGTAAATAAATATATCCAAGTAATTTGTATCATAAAGTTTAAATTTATTTTGACAAAAAACTTTTAAAAAATGAAAACCATATAACCGAAAAATGAATACAAAGAAAATAAGATTATCAACAATCCTTCAATTCTCAAATCAAAAGAAAATAGAATAAATCATACTTTCATACAATTAATTATATGTAATGATGAATAATTCAGCTTAATAATATGTGAATGAAAATAACCTTGCGCGACGAAGGCATAATTGTCGCGCAACTTTTGCGCGACGGAAAATGTACACGTCGCGCATACTCTATTATTTGCGCGACAAATAATTTCGTCGCGCAAGTGCCTTTTGCGCGACGAACAACAGACCTCGTCGCGCAAACATATACACATATATATTTCTGATATATACACACGTATATAGTTGAAATTGACGATCGAAGTAGTTCACTGTATTCACATAGGGTTAAACAGTATAGCTGTAAAAAATCATCAAAATCAGAGTCAAATAACCGTTAAATCATGACTTTTCGTTTATAACCGTCGAAACGTTTTGTCCCGTTACTTGATCTCTTAATGTTTTTTTTTCTCATTTTCGACGTATACGATCTCAAAGTATAAACAAACATATTTGACGGCTAGATTACTGAAACTAGTTTCCTAGAATGCGTATTCCATAAAAACACAATATTCATAAAAAATGAATAATTTCTTTATACATTCATTCAGTCTAACATAAGATTATGTGATGTCCTTTACTGTAAATATCTGAAATTGAAGATCGAATTACATCTCTGTATTCATATAGGGTCAAGAACCGCAGCTGTAAAAAAATTTTCAAGATCGGAGTTAAAATCACCGTTGAATCGGGACAATTTGTTTAGAACCGTCGAAAAGTTTTGTCCCGTTACTCAATCTCTGAATGTTCATTCATTATGATTTTTTACGTATACGATCTTGAACTATGAAAAAGAAGATTGCTGGTTGGATCATTGAAACTAGTTCAGGAGTTCGGGTTTAGGGCTTAGGGTACAGGTTTTAGGGTTTAGGGTACAAGGGTATGGTTTTGCGCGACGAAATCACCTCGTATTCGTCGCGCAAAAGATCAGCAACGAACTTAAGTACCTTCGTCGCGCAAAATTATTAAAAAAATTCGCTGCCCTTCTCCGCTCCAACACTTAGTGAAATTTTTTTTGGCAAAAGCCAGATTGCGCGACGAACATAAGTGCCTTCGTCGCGCAAAATTATTAAAAAATTTGCTGCCCTTCTCCGCTCCAACACTTAGTGAAATTTTTTTTGGCAAAAGCCAGATTGCGCGACGAACATAAGTGCCTTCGTCGCGCAAAATTATTAAAAAATTTGCTGCCCTTCTCCGCTCCAACACTTAGTGAAATTTTTTTGGTAAAAGCCAGATTGCGCGACGAACAAAATACCTTCGTTGCGCAAAATTAACAATTGCAGCCCTTTTCTGTCCAACACTTGGCGAAATTTTGTTTGGCAAAAGCTAGAATGCGCGACGAACTTCCGTCTATTCGTCGCGCAATATCATTGCATTTATCTTCCCCGCGCAAAATCAAATCCCAAAATTTTGGGCGGCTAGACAAATTTGCGCGACGACACTAGTTTTTCGTCGCGCAAAGTTTATATTTTCACAACTTTGCGCGACGAAAGCATGTTTTTAAGTCGCGCAAAGGTCATATTTTTATAATCTTGCGCGACAAAAGTTCATTTTTGCGTTGCGCAAAAGTTATTTTAATGAATTTTGCGCGACGGATTTATGTATTCGTCGCGCAAAGTCGAATAAGTTTTTTGAAAATCGCGATCTTCTCCTTCTTCCCCAGTTTCTCAAACGGAACCCTAAACCTCCCTTTCTCTCCGCCGTGACCTCAGCCCCTACTCCGCCCCAATTCAGACCCTGCCGCCACCACCGTCGAACCCTGGAGCTTCTCCGCCGTCGCCGTCCATCCTGCCGCCGTGATTTCCTCCGTTTAGGCCGAATCTTCGCCGCCGTTGTTCTCTCTCCTCCGGGCACCAAATCCGGCAATTGAGGTATGCTTTCTGGGCTATTTTTCATGCTCTAGCTGATGGTTGTGTAGGATTTGATTGATTGTGTGCATAGGGTAGTGAATTTGAAACCCTAGGTTTCGGCCGGTTTTGAAATTGAAATTCCGGCCACTTCCGTCCGTTTTTCGGGGTAGGTCCGAGAACAAAAGTGCCTCCAATTGATGTTTTCAACCTAGGGTAGGAACCTTGGCCCTTAATTTTTAGGATTTCCCGGTGATTGTTATCGCTTAGGGCACCCACGCGCTGCCGGCGCGTGTGGTGGCGCGTGGGGTACTGTGGCATAGGGCATTTTGTCCCAGTGCAAACATTTCGTTGTCACGAGGGCGTAGGTGTGCTCGGATTGGAATTTGGTTATCGTTTGAGTCTCGAACGGTTCGAACCTATTGTGCGATTTTAGGGTTTGATATGTTCGGACCGTTGGATCGAGCTGAAACTCACGTATGTGGTACCATGTATTTATAGGATCGTTTAGGATTCGACGGATCGTGGATCGGAGTCCCGGATACTCCGAAATCGCAAACCCTAGGTCAAACTATGATTTTAATTAGTTAGTTCAATTTTTTAATGACATTGTATGTGCTACATTGGATTAATGAAATTGTGCAGATGTCAGACTTGATTAGACGTCGTAGGGCGGTGACGGCTACACCGAGTTCGGAGCCCCCGGCTCAGCCGGTATCAGCTGCCACTGCTCCAACACTGATGGAGCAGGACCACGTGCTAGCTGGTCCTGGGGATCCCAGGCGGCTGCATCATCATCTTCTTCGGTGGTGCAGCCTCTTAGCGCTAGGCGGCGACACCGGCCCGCTACCACCACCGACACCACATCGACTGACTGTACTGGTGCCTCGGGGGCACCTCCAGGTAATACCCTTCCACTTTCATTTTTTGTTTTTAACATTTTTTTAATTGGGAATTTTATGGTTCAATTTGATTGTATATGTAACAATATTGTCATATCCCTTTGCAGCCAAGAGGAACACCCGAGGGCCGTGTCGGCAGCTGAAGACGGCGAAGGTCACCCGGGTGACCAACAGTCGTATCAGCATCGGATATGACGAGCGCCATCGGGCTGCACCGACGGCGGACTTGCATAGCTCCTTGGCCCACGACATTGGCCACGTCGTTCGGACCCATTGCCCGATGCAATGGAAGTCTTGGAAGGTCATGCCTGACGAGATCAAGATGCAAGTTCGCGGCCAGTTGTCGGTATGTTTCCTATCTTTTAATTATTTTTCTTTCAAACTTTATATATTTCTATTACTTAATGTATGTAATCAATTTATTGCAGACGAACTACGACTTAGAGGACAACAACGAGGAGACCTTGGCGTACGTCAACAGACTCTTCGGTGAGAGGTACAAGCAGTGGAAGAGCGACTTGCACCACCATTTTCAGGCGTTTGATGATCCGCAAGTCGCTCTTCAGGAGGGTTGCCCGAAGGAGCTTGAGGGGCGGGAGGATAGTTGGGCGTGGCTCTGCGCTCATTTTCAGGCGCCCGATTATGTGGTATTTTTTTAATAATATTTGTTTAATGTTTATTTTATTTTTATATCTCATTATTATTTATATCTCATTATTATTTAATTTATTTATAGTTCAATTATTACGTTTTATTTTTTGTATAACAGAATAAAGCCCAAGTGAATAAGGGCAATAGGAAGAAGAAGACTCTTCTTCACCATTCCGGCTCCAGGCCCTTCTCATATAGGATGGATGCACGGCGTCGGGTAAGAATAATATAATTTATATTTAATTTTTAATACGTCATTATTATTAATTTCTTTTGTTCATACTAATATTTTCCTTCTCTTGTTCAATTAAGGGGGGGTCGAAATTCCCAGAGATCGACGTCTTTGGTGACGTTTATGTTCGACCTGGGAATGAGTTGGCCGAGTCCCTTCATGTAAGTATTATGTATTTTTAATTCTTATGTTACACTTTCAATTTATATGCATTTTGAATTTATATTTTATGTAATGTTAACAGACGACGATGGTGGAGAGGAGCCAGTTGGTTCTTCAAGAGTCCGCCTCCCAACTTCCTCCCGAGACTCCGATCGAGTCTGTGGATCCTCCGCATGATGCTGGATTTCAGATTTTGACGCAGACGTTGGATCAGACTCTCGGGAGGAGGCCGGGAACGTATTGTAGGGGATGGGGAATGCCCGACAGAGGGAACCTCGACCGCGGTCATCGTCGCAGGCAAACAGTCAGGTGACTGTTTTGACATCGCGGGTTGCCGAGCTTGAGGGTCAGATGTCGGTGATTCTGCAGTCCCTCGCGCGGTCCGGCATTCCAATCCCGAATTTTGGTGCGTCGACCTCCGAGCCCG